CTTCTGACCAGTGGAGGTTTGGAGTGGCCAGCACAGATAAAGTGGAAGTCAGCAGGATCTGACTGCCATCTCGTTCACACTAGTCCTGAGAGCCGGCCTGTAGCTAGCTATCGTTAGTAATTGTTGAAGCTGGAGGTGTGACTTTCTGACCTTCAGCCATGGAAGCTTTAGTTGCCTGACACTGGGAGGTGATTAAAAAGAAAATGTCTTGAGTTTGGCCCACTCTTGGTTAGAGGGACTCCAGCAGGATGGGGTGGTGGGCAGGTCCAGACTGTGGAGTCTGGCATCCCTTCTAACTTGACAGTCTCTGGGTAAATTAACTTTTCTGAACCTCAGCTGCCCTGCCTGTGTGGGGAACATAAGAACAGTTGGCTCAGAGATGTGGGGATGAATATTCATCTTTTTGATGCTAAAACCACATGCAATTTAAGCCCAAGCATCTGGTCTTTTTTCCAGACCTGAGTAATCTAAACAATAGGGCAACCTCATTTGGCAAAATGGGGGAGTTGAGGCCAGAAAGAGCTTCCTACGGAGGTAGCCAAGCCACTGAGGGGCCAGGCAGTGCTTGGTGCTCCTGCTGGACTTGCCCTGGGGTTGTCCTTAAAGATGGCCTCCCTGGCTGAGAGTCAAAAATGACAACCTAAGGCTTTTTGTCTTTGTGCAGACACCAAAAGAGTGAGCTCTGGCAGGGACAGTGATGTCTACAGCCCTGAGACAGGTCTTCCTAATGCTTTATTCACTGTTGATGCCGTTGAGGTCATCCACCCTCTTCCTGCCTCAGTGCACTTGAACAGAAAGGCTTGGTGACACAGACAGACAAAAATATGGCCATCTACCATTTACTTCCCTGGCAGATAATCCAGTTTCACCATCTTTTATTGGATACAAAGTCATAAATTCTCTGATGCCCATGTGAGTCCTTTTAAATACATACACTCAGGTACATTCGGCAGAGGGCATCTATGGGTGAGGTGGAGCAAAGTGCTGGGATGGTGACGCCTGGTGGGGGGGGAGAGAAGTGGGGCCAGGGAAGGCCCCCTGGGGGCTGGAGGTACAGGCACCACTTCAGAAACAAAACCAAAAAACGCTCTCCACCCCTCCGCCTGCTGTGCTTGGGGTGGGGGAAGCTACCCTCACGGCTCAGGCCCATTGCAGCCTGGCTGTGCAGGGAAGGCAGGCCTAGGGGCCGGTTGAGGAGGTCCCTACTAGCAGTGCCCACGAGAGTCAAGCCTCCTGGTGCCAGTCATGAGGCAAGCCTCAAGGTTGCCTCGGGCCTCTGCACTTGAATGCAAGACCCCGCCAGGGCAGAGTTGAGGCCAGGCCAAGCCCCACTGGAACTATGCCAGCAACGGCAGACAAGGCTTGGGCTTGTGGTGGGGAAGCCTGCCTGATTGTCAGGGCAGTCTTGGGACTGGCCAGGGTCCCGGGGGGTTAGGGAAGGAATAGGAGCTGGTTGCCCTGGTATTCCGGTCTTCACCCAATCCTAAACCTTATCCTCAGGCAAAAGCTGCAGATGAATACACTTGTCCGGGAATAAATACATACACACGATACACAGCAGTATATACAGAAATGCAGGCCTGGAACAAGGCTGGGTGAGAAAGCATGACTACCAGGGTTAAAGAGAGAAGTGCCAGGCCCCTGGAGGAGGGACTGATAGGCTGGACAGATCAGTTTGAGTTAACTCCTCTGGGCAGGGGAGGACCTGCCCCCACTCGCCATCTCTGCTGTCTTCATCCCAAGCCCCCAAGGAATTGGGTCTTTGGCACCAATAGTCCCTCTGGGAAGGTCTTCAGCCTAGCACCTTAAAGGGACTAGGGCCTGGGCTGCTTCCCACCCGTGGCCCAAAGGACCAGGGCAATAGGCAGGACCCAACGGCAAAGGATGGAGCCAAACCTTGGAGCAGCAGGCCTTGGGAGGGAAGTGGCTTTTTGTTTTTGAAGCGCTTCTTGAGGGGCTGGCTCAAACCGCTCTCACGGGACCAGGAAGTCCTGGGCTGCCTTGGTCCCTAGGTGGTTTCTTGGCCAGTGGAAAGCCACGGTTCTGGGCAGCACCCTTCCTCTCTCCCAGGGGTCAGATGTATACAGCATCTCCTTCGTTCCCTGCTAGTGCCACGGGGAAGCAGCCCAAAGCCTGATGAAGTGCTCAAGCTGAGTGTGCCAAGCCTCCCAGATGCTGGGTCCAGGCCATATTGCCGGGAGAGGTGTAGGGACACCCGAGTGCTGGTGCCCATGGGACCTCTACATGTGCCTGGGACCCCTAGAGCAGGGCCTGCTTCGATTTGCTCTCTCAGATACTCCTCTCCTTCGCATCTTACTAGGTGTGAGATACAGAGGTGGAAGCTCCTTTGAGTGAATGAAGGATCAGGTGCTTAAGGAATGGCCAGACCCTCTATCCCCATTACCCATCCTCAGCCATGCTCTGTGGTTGCCAGAGAAGTGAACAAATGGAGCATCCCTGCAAACAAGCTCCCTGTACAGCAGCAGGGCTCATCCCCCTGTGAGTCAAAAAATAGCTTCAAGTTGGGGGACAAGGGGCCCACACCCTGCCACTTCTAGGCATGCATGAAGTCCAGCCTGCGTGAGTCTGTGAGTCCCCGTCAGCAGGGGCTGGGGCCGATGCCATATGTACTCCTACACATCCTTCACACACTCAGCTGGGAGGTACAGGGTGGGGACTTCTGGCCAAACTTCCTACCAGTGGGGGGGGGGGGGCCTGTTCACTCTTCTGCCCTCAGTGCTGGTGGTGCTCAGGGCTGTTGCACGAATGAATGACTGAATGAATGAATGACTGGGTGAATGAACCTACTCCTAGAATCAGTCCTTTCAGCACTGCCTTTCTCCCACTCTAGCTCACTGCCCGTGCACCCTGACCTCCTTTTCCAGGACTGATGCCAGACATTCCAGTGGGTACCCACCCAGGGAGAAATTGCCCAAAGTCTTGTGTTTAGGGATGGAAGCTTCCTGGGGCAAAAATCCCTCAGTAAGGCAGGCTCAGGCCAAGCAGGGCATCCCTTTGTGCTTTGTCCAGGAGATGGGGAGGGCAGCACCTCTGATCCTAGGGTCTTGAGCAGGAGCTGTAGAGGGTATAGTTGGCAAGGCAAGACAGATGTACCCAGGGCACCCCCATATCCCTTCCAGGCCCCTGGAGGACAGAGAAAAGTTGTGCTTCTTCCTGCAACTCCTGGGGACAGGGCCAGGGAGGTGGGAGCCAGTGGGGCCAGCTGCTCTGTGGTGGGGGGGGGGTGCCACTCAGCCAAGGCTTTGTGCAGGACTGGACAGGGAGTTGCCAACAGGACACCCTTGGTATTTGGGGTCTTCAAAGGGCGAGGCCAGAAGGAGCTGGGACAGAGCTGCATGTGGAGTTAGGGGAGCTGGATACTGAGCCTGTGGGGTCTCAGTCTGAAGGACTCATTACAGGGTAACCCAGGGCTGGGTCTTGATGTCCAGGATGTAGCAGAAAGGTCCCTGGAAAGGGCTGAGAAACGAGAAGTCCAGCCCCAGCCAGGACCAGCAGCCTAATGGTTAGGGCAGAACTGGCCCCTGTATAGGAAATTAGGAAACCCTAAGATGGATCAAGGTTAATGTTTGAAAGAATTTTCCAAGTGAATGTTAGTGGGACCCAAGGCCTCTACACCACTATGGGAGTTCTGAGAGGAGGAACTGCAGAGACCTGAGTCTTTGGAGCCTTAGTGCCAGAACCTGGTTTTACCAGAACTGTGCAAGAGTCAGTGAAAAACCCCATTTGCATTCTGTGGTTTCTAAGCCAAGTGGCTCTGGCTCAGGCCCCAGCACCGTGCCTAGGCAGAAGCACTCCAGCAGAGCCCACAGCCCATGGGGCCCGTGAAGACTGAGGAGGGAGGCAAGTCTGATGAAGCTGCTCTTCCTCTTCTTTGGCTTCATGGGTGTGGTTCCCTACCAAGACCACATTCTTCAAGCAAGCTAGCCAGACAAGGAAGCAAACCAAATTCCCTCCTGGCTTCCTCCAGGCCCCAGCACAGAAGGCAGTGACTCCCTGCCACCCACAGTCCTGGGGACCCAGAGGCCATTAGATTCCTGCCCAAGCACCAGAAAGACATTTCTTGAGGACAGGAACTGCTGCTCACTGCTGCTAAGGTTTCCCAGAGCTAGGACCTTACCCCTCCAGAGGCTCAGGATCGGTGGAAGGTATAGAAACATGCACCTTTTACCTCTGAATTTAGCTCTGGTGTGTCATGAGGGTATGTGGTGGCTGAGAGGAAGGGTCTTGTTTCTACAGCAATAAAAACTAGGTTTTCTCTACTTGGCAATTTCCCCCCTTTGAGAGTGGTGGTTTCAATATCCTGGGGAAAAGTTCTGGATGAATGTTTTGCCATTCCAAGCCCATTCCCACTACCTTGCTGCACCCCCGCCCCCCACTTTTGGCTGACCACATTCCCAGACCCATAGGCTTATCTGTGTTACCTCTGGGGAACGTGGACCCAGAGCCTAGGCAGGATGTCTGAAGGGGATGCCCCACAGAGGGCTGGAACAGGGCAGGAGGAAAAGAGCCCTCCTTGCCAAGTCTGAGCTGCTTTGGGGAGCCCCCTCTGGCTGGGGCCTAGCAGAGGCCCCTGACCGGGAGGCTGGGCCTCAGGAAGGGGGGGCCGGCCCCGGTAGCCTGAGCAACCGAGGAGCCACTCCGTGGTTGCAGGTCCTGAGGGCGATGACACCAGGTGCTGGTGGTGACTCAGCTCCTTGCTGGCGGTGCCCAGAAGGATGCTCCAGTGGGGGTGGGGTGGGGGGGTGGAGTGGGGGTCGGAGGGCAGCTTCTGTCCAAGCCCCTGCCCTGAAGAGGCAGTGCCCAGGGTCAGGCCTGTTGCTCCATGGTCCCAGGAGGAGGACAGGAAACTCAACCCTTCCCTGGAAGCCAGGGATAACACTAGGCCTCTGAAGGTCTAGTCCAAATCAGGGTCCCTCTGGAGGTCCAAAGAGAGTGCCCTGGTGTGGGGCTGGCAGGGGCCCTGCCGCCCCCCGCCCGGGTTAGCAGCCGCCGTCCACCTTGATGTGCAGGATCTTAGAGAAGCCGGGCCTCCGTCGTAGGGCCTGTAGACCGAACTCTGGGTTAGCTCCCCTTGGGGTCAGGCAAGTGGGGCCCTCCCATTACACACCCAGGTCACCAACTCCAGTCTAGGGATGTCACCTAGGGTCTTGGGTGGCCTAAGAGCCAATTCCTCACCTGGAGTTTCGTCACCATATCCTCAAACAGCTTCTGGGCCTCGGGACTGCTGGGCTCTTTGAAATAATCAGCAATCCCAATCTGGACCACAATGGACTTGAGGTTCCGGCAAATGCCTGAGAAAAGGTGGGTAATAAGGTGATGGCTGGGCAATGGGACTGCTGCTTCTCCTATTACTACTTAATGAAACCAGAACCCTACAGAGAGATGGCCACGTGCCAGGCACTGGGCACCACGTAGAGGAGAGCAGGCCTGTGGCACCCAGAGGGTCAACCAGATGGGGGTTGGGGCCGGGGGAGGAGGGCAAGGTCATACAGCAGAGGCTGCAGTGGACTCTGGGAGGATGAGTGGGCAACAGCCAATTGTGCAGAGGCTCTAGGAGCTTCCCTGGCAGAGGGGACAGTTGTACCATGGCCTGGCCATCTGGAAATGAATTCAAGGACAGAGTGGCTGGGGTGAAGCTATTGGGTCTTCTCTGGAACATGGAAGAGGGGAGACAGGCAGCAAACAAGTTGGGAGCAGAGGGCTTAAGGGACCAGATGTTGCCATGAAGGCAGTGGAGGAGGAGGAAGGTCAGGAGGCTGAGAGGGTTCTGGAGGTCATGATTTTGGAGGCTGAGCAGTTAGTCTGGTGGTCAGTCCAGGGCCAGGCCATGAGGCTGAAGGGGAGGGAAGAAAAGAGTCCTGGAAACAATGAGATTGTCAAGGAATCTTCAGGGCTCAGGACTTAGGTGTGACCAGGGCCTCAGGAAGGGGGGGCCTGCCCCAGTAGCCTGAGCAACTGAGGAGCCACTCTGTGGTTACTGCAGGTCCTGAGGGCGATGACACCAGGTGCTGGTGGTGACTCAGCTCCTTGCTGGCTGTGCCCAGAAGGATGCTCCAGTTGGGGGGGTGAAGCGGGGTTCGGAGGGCAGCTTCCTGAAGGAGTGTGAGCAGCCCCAGCTGGGCGCCCATGTCCTCAGGGAAGGTGGAAGAATGGTCAGGAGTGGGGCAGGTGGCTAGGGGTTGGTGGGGTCAGAGGAGGCATGTTGGAGTCTACAGTAGCACGGAGAGAGGGGTCTTCACCCTGAGAATGGTCCTGGCGGGGCTCATATACATTATCTCATTTAACCCTCCCACCCATTCCAGAAGGTCCGCTTAGAAGATGGGGATACAGAAGCCAGAGAAGTAGAGTAACTTGCCCAGTCACACAGCTAATAAGCAGTAGAGCCAAAATTGAGACCTACATCAGTCCAGCTCCAGGACCTGTATTCCTAACCCGTCTGTTCTGCCCCTGCCCTTGGCCAGAGGCTCACGAGGAACAGGTCATATCTCGTATCTCCCATGGGGGTTGAGCATAGGGCAATAAAGATCTGTGGAACTGAACCATCTGGACCAGTGCTAGCAGGCCTCGAATGCCACATTGGCCTCAGAAGACCCTGGTGGCGAGGCTAGGATTAGCACCCTGGTCAGTCTGTCCCCCACATCCACCCATGCTGGTGCTTGCTGACGAGAACAGGGAATTGCATATGCTACTTGCTGACAAGGCATGGTAAGAGGGGACAGTGGACACCCCCCCCCCCCGCCGGCCGCATTCCCATTGCTCACTGTTGAAATGCAGCAGGGCCTTGGGGGTGACGGGGGTGGCCGTGAGCACCAACATCTCCAGTCCCTTCAGACCTTCCCGGCAGACCTCAGCTGCCACCTCCTGGGTGATCTCCGACACATGGTCCAGCTCCAGGACCTGCAGCCGCATGCAGTTTCTTGCTAGGAAGAGAAGGAAGAGGGGAGGTCCTGCTGACAAACTCCCCAGGTCGCCTCCGGCCCGGTGCCCCGAGCTCCTGCCACCACCCAGGCCGCAGCCTCAAGCCCCTCTGGGATTCCGGTGTCGCACCCACACCTGCTTCCCACCACCCTCCGCCCCAGTCCCAAGGAAAGACTCACCAAGTGACGCCAGGCCCTGCACCCCACAGCCAGCACCCCCAATCCCCAGGGCCCGAAGGTGCGGCCAACAGCGACCAATCATCTGCAGGCAGCGGTTACTGAAGCGCGTGGGCTGCTGGCTGGAGAATGGGGCAGAGAGAGGGCTGTCAAGGAAGCTTCTGGTTGCACGGCACCCCGAACCTGCTCCTCTTTCATGTCCCTTGCTCAGGCTGGGGCCCCACCAACCACCCAGCTGCTCAAGTTAGAAACCTGGGATCATCCCTGACCCTTCCTTACCACCTGCCGAGACCTACAGATTCTGATTCCTGAATAACTTCAAAGCACAGTTCACACCACCATCCATATTCATGTGGATTCATCTAGTCTCTCTGCCAATTCAACCGGCACGCTGCTGACCGCGAGCCACTCATTCTATGTTCTCTCACTCAGTCATTCAACAAATGGGCCTCAAGTGTCTACTAGCGCCAAGAATAACCGAGCTGGGCCCCGGGGACACAGTGGTGACAGTATAGACGTGGTCCGTGCCCTCAACGAGGGGGGCGGGGGAGGACACAACATAACCAGTCTGATGTGATCCTGTCTTTAAGATCAGAAATACCGCAAAGGCTTCCCGAGCACTTCCTAAGTAAAATGCAAAAATCTGACCCCCTTACGCAGGACCTTCCTAACCTTGCCCCCACCTTCCTCTCCACACTCATTGCTCCTCCCTGCCCATCACTCACACCAACCCGGCCATTTCCCTGAACACCTCGTTCCTCAACATTCGCCCAGGCGGTGGGTTCCTGGTGTCTGCCACACACCTGGTACCAGGGATATGGGAACGGACATTCACAGCCCCAACCTGGAGAACTGCTAGTACCGCGGAGACTCAGATATTATTGCAAAACAAACTACAGCAGGTGTCAAAAAGAGCGGAGGCACCACAGGAATGGGGGCAGGGGAGCAGGGACGGATTCCACCAGGTGGCAGGGAAGGACATGGGATGCCCCGAGAGGAGCTGTCGTGCGGAGAGAGGGCTTGCTTGGAGGACAGTGCAGGGACAAAGAAGTCTGGTTTGAGGAACACCAAGTTGTGAATGAATGATCTGGATTCTCCGACAACCAGCTCTTTTGTGTATGCTACATCGACCTCCCTGAACGGCCTTTCACGTGCCAAACAAACGTGGCTATTTCTAGGTAGTGTTGACTGAACACTTATATATACTCTTTATAGACACACCTCATCTGAGCCAGCTACGGTTCCACTAAGGCTGAAAAATCTCGAATATCACCTTCACTTTGCAGTAGAGAAACTGAGGCATGACTGGATTGCTCTCCGTCACACTGCCAGTGAGCCAGGACATCACCCCAGGCCTGATTTTGAAGCTCTGCTCCCAACAGCTAAATACACAGACTGATGAATGTGAATCTGTCTCCCCAGCCAGCTTTTGGAATGGCCCAGATCTGCTCAGTCCTCAGCCAGCCCCGGCTCAACCCCCGGCCTGGCTCAACCCCCGGCCCCTCCCAACCCCTGCTGGGGCTCACCAAGGGTGAAGTGGCGCCACCTGGAGGGAGACAATCTCTCTGCAGCCTGCGCCCAGGGCCCAAATGACCTCATGGCCCACGGGGTCTGTGGCGCTCCTGTTGAAAAGAAAGAGCTGGGACCGCCCACCCTGGTGGCTTCTGCTCCCTGCCCTTGGACCAGAGGACTCTTGGGTCCCCTTGCCTGAGAGCCCTGGGGGAAGAGTATGCAGACCCCAGGGACCCGCTCGGCCGGAGGTCCAGAGGGTGTGGACTACCTGTAGGTGACCGCCTGCAGGGCGCGGCAGTAGCAGCTGGCCAGCCAGAGGGAGCGGTCGGTGAGAATGTTGGGACAGTGGGAGATGCGCAGGATCAGCAGATTCCCCCCCGCCGCCTTCAACAGGGACTCCAGCCCCGCCTCGAGGCAGCCCCTGGGGATGGCCAAGAGGTCAGGGCACCGCTTGTGGCCACTCCCTCCCCGGGGAAGCACCGCCCCCCCAGAACTCCAGGTGTGCACGCAGTAAGACCCCCCCCCCCCGGCCCACCCACCACCGCCTCACCGGGTGCTCCGCGCGTACTCTTCCTTGCTCTCCTTCTTGCCCCGCTGCCGGGGCTTCAAGTTCTGCAGGGTCAGCGAGTGCGCCTGGGTGCACCACTGAGCCAGCATGGCCAGGAACTGCAGGGAAAGAGGGGTTGCCTGCCGATGAAGGGGCCTGAGCTTGGCTGGCTGGAGGGAGACCCCATGAGAGCATTTGGGGGAGCGAGGCTGAAGCTAGGGTGTTGGAAGGGGCGCAAGGGCCAGACCTCGAGGGCCCAGATTCTGCTGGGAGAAAGGTGGGTTCACAGCAGGGGCGGTGGGCGGGGACAGGCACCTTGGAACAGACGCGGGCGTTCTCGAGCAGCACCCGTGTCCAGACCGCGGGGTGGCGAGCCACGAAGCGCCAGTCCCGGCAGACCTCGGCCGCGTGCAGCAGCGTGCGTGTGTCCAGGTAGGTGAAGATGCAGAACAGGGCGGCTCGCATCTTGAGGATCTCCGGGCTGATGACCTCGTTGGAGCAGGAGGGGCTGCCCCTCTCCGCTCGCCGACCCCGCCCACTGCCTCCCTCAGGGCGGGCTGCACGGTACCAGAGGGTCAGAGATCAGTGTGGAGGGTCAAAGGCCAATGTGGGGGTGTGGGTGGGGAGGTGGGGTGGGGTAGGAGCCACAGAAGGGACAAGTATGAAAGACCCATGCTGGGGGACTGGTGACTTGGGAGGAAGGACAAGGGGCCTTTGCTTCCCCCTCCTCTGCACACCCCATCTCTAATTATACACATTAGAAAAAGGTGAGCCTTCCTCAAGTAAACTTTTTTGTGAGATCATACATCCTCACATTGTCCAAACTCAGCCCCTAGGCGAAGCAACTGAGTCAAGTCTAGGAAAGGGAAGGGTTTGGAGGGTAAGGGTACAGATGGATAGAAACCCAGCCTCTGTGAAGAGAAGGCCAGGGCGAGGCTGCCCAGAACGGTCACTCAAGAGCAGCCATGCACATGACCTGAGCCCTCTAACCTCCTGACCCTGACCCACCCACATATGCACATGGCCTTGTGCATATATAGAAGGGGGCTCTCCCTGCTGTTCCAGGGACTTCAGTCTGCAGTTAACACTCAGCTACTCTCCCGTAAATGTCAACAACGAGCCATGTGAATGGACCCCCTGAGATGTGGCATCCTTGTGCAGTCCCCACCATGAGCACCCCTGTGCTGCAGCACTGCTCTGTCTCATGAGTTCCTTGCCCAGGCTCCCAGGGCACTTGTAGGAGAGTTTGTCATCCTCACAGCAGGAAGTCTGGGACAAGGGGAAACAGGTGCGGGAGCCCAAGAGATCTACTGCCCCAGCCCTGTGTCCCCTTAGAGGGCCCAGCGCCAAAGAAAGACTGGCCCCTCTGGCCTACCCTTCCAGGACTCACCTGAGAGCCGGCAGCTGCTCAGTGGCCCAGCCAGAGCAGGCCCAGGGCGGGGGGCATCTGAGGGGCCCTCAGCCTCTGACTCCGTGGTTCGGGAGCCCACGTCCGAGACATCACCCTCCTCCCCCTCCGTGCTGTGTCGGCGGGGTCTGCGCTGCCAGTTCTGGATGGCCTGGCGCCGCAGGCCTGAGCTGCGAGGGGCCTGGGTGCGCTCCGAGCCACCGTTGGCAGCCTGGGCCCGTGTGCCCAAGCCCCCAGGGCCACTGTCCTCGGGGGCCCCCTCTTCTGGCCGGGGTAGCTCCAGACTGTCACTGTCATAGCAGCCTGAGCTCTGGGATGCAGCGGGGACACGGCTGGAGGCCCTGGGGTGGGGTGGACCAGACGGTGAGGAGTGAGGGGCACCAGGTCTGCCCAAAGTCCCCAGGCCACCCCTACCGAGGGCAACCCCCCCGCCCTACTTTCCAAGAGCCCCCTTCCAAGAGTGTGGAAAGGCAGACAGAGGTGACCCGAGGAGTATGGGGAAAGGAGAAGGAGCCAAGGCCCCAGATGGGCCAGCCATCCAGGGGGCCGGTGGGTCTTTCCAAGGTGAGGGTGGGCTGTGTGGGACGGGCCAGGCCCGAGGCTTACCCTGTGCTGGGAGAGGAGCCATGCCTCGACACGGCGTATGTGCTAGGCATGGCCAGGCCCGCGTGGTGTTCTCGCTGTGGGCCCCCAGAGCGGGAGGGAAAGGCGGGGCATGGGGGGCAGCAGAAGAAGCAAGAGGATGAGAAGGAGCAGGAGAAACAGGGCACAAGATGGAGAGAAGAGAGGAGGGAGAGGAGAGAGAAGGAAAAAAGTTGGGAAAGATGGACAAATAGACAGACAGACAGCCCAGAAAGGCAGGCTCACCAGCCCCCTCCCCACACCCACCCAGCACCCCAGACCCTGGCCTGTGGCTCCTGGGCTCTCATTTGAGCAGAGAAGGGCCCCTGAGCACCAGGGGGGCTGGATCACACCTCACTGGCTCACGGCCTCAGGGGCCCTTCTGCCCAATCAGAGGGGCACCCCTGTTCCTGGACCCCTCCTTCAGGCCCGGAGTCTGCTCGTGGGGAAGAGCCAAAGAAGGGAAGCATGGAGCATAACAGGGGGACGCTAGGCCGTGTGCGCGGTGGGACTGGAGGGGGCAGGTGGGCGCTCACCATTCTGCCGGGGCCCCGGGTAACAGGCCCAGCGCCACTTCCTCCCCCTCCGCGGCCCAGGCTGGCGCTCGGGGTGCTGCCACAGCTGCTGCTGATGACCTGCAGCTGCCGCTCGGCGCGGTCCGCACGCTCCAGCAGCTCCTCGATGAACTGCTGCAGCCGCAGCTTGGCACTGGCCTCCCGCGCCGCCGTCTCCTTCAGGAACTGGTCAATCTGCACCACCTCCCTGGGCCCAGAGCAGTCTTTCAGCCCCGTGCCTGGCTGCCCACCCACCCTCTGGAGGAAACCCTGAGCGGGAGAGAGAGACACGGGCACAGCTGCCTGGGCTGTCTGCTCACGCCCACGTGGGTGCCCGCAGATGTACAGGCCCGGGCACAAGGCCCCCCACCAAGGCACACACAGAAATGCAACCGTACACCCACCCCGAGTCACACACTCATGCCCCACTGACCCAAGCCCGACGCTCCTGCCAGGCGCCTGTACTCCCCATGGAAACACTCTGTCATACGCAGTCACACTCAGATCCGCCTTCTCCGTCCGGATACACTCGGGCACACAGCCACACACACTCATGTACACGTGCTCATGTCATGTTCACTTGCAGGCATACACACAGTCTGAGCCAGGTACAGTTATGCTCACACATTCCAACACACACACAAACACACACACACACACACACTTTCAGAAACATTCTCAGATGCAGAAGTCTCAGGGAAGTACACACAGCACACTTCAGAGTCACTTGAGCATTTACTCCCAAATGTATTCACATTCAACATTCACTGAGCACCTTCCAGGTGTCAGGCACTGTTCTAGGTATTTAGGGATACAGCTGTGGATAGACTGAGGAAAGCTCCTGCCCCCATGGAGCTTATATCACAATAGGGGGTAGATAAATACCATCCATATATTTCACCATTCTACATTTAAAGACCAGGGAAATAAGAAGCCAGCAAAGAACGCTGAGAAGGAGCAGACAAAAGGTAGAGTGTCCTGGAAGTCAAGTGAAGAAAGTGTTTCAGGGATCAGCTGTGTCAAATGCTGCTGATAGGCTGAGGTGATGATGAGTGGGCCTTGGTGACATGAAGGTCATTGGTGACGTGGAGGACAGTGGTGGTGGTGGACATCTCTCTAATCAGAGGGGATTCAAGAGAGAAAGTGGAGAAGGAAATTGGAGACAAGGAGTATAAATTTTCATAGAGTTGTTCTGGAAGGAGAGAAAAGAGGCAGTAGCCCAAGGGGGCACTGGGGTTATGGTGGATGGGAGAAACAACCTCCTGTGTGGTCGCTTTCAGGAATGATACAGTTGGGGCGCCTGGGTGGCTCGGTTCTGCTTCTCCCTCTCCCACTCCCCCTGCTTGTGTTCCCTCTCTCGCTGTGTCTCTCTCTGTCAAATAAATAAAATCTTAAAAAAAAAAAGGAATGATACAGGTGACAAGGAAAATCTGATGATGGCAAAGAGGAAAGCAGAATTGTGCCACGTCTTTGAGTAGGCAAAAGAGCAGAGGATCTGCTGCCACAATGCAGGGGCTGGCCTTGGCTAGGGACATAGAAAAGTAAGAGAAAGAGTTTTCACGGGCAGGCATGCGAGCATACTTGCATGTCTTCACAGTCCCAAACACATACCGTCATGACGCTCTTGGCCCCACACACACCACCATCACATGCTTTTGGCCACAGATGCCACAGTACAAAGCCACGGCCACACAGACACACACACACAGCCACACTCAGTCCCACTCAAGGTGGGGGCAGCGGCAGCGACACACACGGTCACTCAATCGGGAACATTCACGGGCACACCCGCCCACAGGGCCCTGCGGGCCACTCACTGCTGCTTGCGGCTCAGCTCCTGTTCCTTGTGCACCAGGTCCTGCTTGAGCGAGGCCAGCAGCTCCACGCTCACGTCCACCTGGCGCGAGAGCTCGGATGCCCGCTCCTCCAGCTCCTCCTTCTCGCGCCCCAGGCGTGCGCTCTCCTGCCGCGCTGTCTCCAGCTCCGCCGCCTTGCGCTCTAGCTCGGCCTGCAGCCGACCCACCTGGCCCGCGATCTTCTGCTCCACCTCTTCGCTCAGCCGCTCCAGCCGCCGGTCCACCTCCAGCTTCTCCAGCGCGCGGATCTTGAGGCGCGCCAGGCCCTCCTCGTAAGCCACATCGGCGGGCGAGGGGGACGCGGGCGAGGCGGAGGCGGGCCCGGGGCCCGGCCCGGGCGGCGGCGTCGAGCAAGCCGAGGAGGCCACGGACTTGCGCGCGAACAGCTCCCCCAGCGGGATCTCGATCTCGCGCAGCGCGTAGCGCGCGGCGGCGGCGGCGGCGGCGGCGGGCACGAGGCCCGGCTCGGCCAGCTCCTCGCACGGCAGGCTGGCGGGCACGAGGTCGCCGGCGAAGTGGGCGAGGGGCGCGTGGTGGTGATGGTGGTGCAGCAGGTGCGGCGCGGCGGGCGATGGGCCGGCCGCCTGCTCCTTGCCCTGGAAGGACGTGCTCTCGAAGACCTCGCGCCGGGCGCCGGGCACGGCCAGCAGGGCGGCGGGCTCGGGCGTCAGCGGGAAGCCCGAGGCGGCGGCCGCGGCGGCGGCGGCGGCCGCGGCGCCGTCGCAGATGCTGTTGGTCTTGGAGAGGATGTAGAGCGTCTCGTACGTGTGGCTGTACTCCAGGTGAGCACGCAGCGACGACAGGCTCCGGAAGCGCTTGTGCTCCCCGCAGCGGGGGCAGCGGTATGGCAGGTCCAGCGAGGCCATGGCCCCGCCGCCCCCGCGGCGCCCCGGCTCCACCGCGGCCGACCCCGCCGGTCAGCCGGGCGCGCTCATGGGGGGCCGCGGGCGAGCCCCCCTGCGCGGTCAGGAAGGCTCAGGGCGCCGGCGGCCAGAGGCGAGGAGGCTGGAAGAGAGGGAGTAAGCCTTAGGAGGGTGGTCTCCCCCACGCGTGAGGAAACTGAGTTCCCCAGGAAACTCGCGCCCATAATGGAGGGGCGAGGGGATCCCAGTGGCTTGACCTCCCAGAGGGGGCTGGCCTGCTCTGGTACCTGCGGGAGGGCCTGTACATGTACGACAATGAGAAAGAATGAGAATTCTTTAAGGGGGGAAAAAGCATTCATTATACTTATAATACTTCCAACCTATATTCCAACTAGACATAACCCAAGTGCCCATCACCAGTAGACTGGATGAATTGTGATATGTCCGTAGTGGAATTTTATCCAGCAATAAGGAAAGGAAGCACTGGGACATGCAACAACATGGATGAATCCATTCAATATTATGCTGCATAAAAGAAGCCAGAGCAGAGTGCACACTGTAGGATTCCATACATACGGAGTTCAAGAACAGACTAAATTGATCATGACATAAGTCAGAATAGAGGTTACCCCCTGGAGACTATAAACTGAGAAGGGACAGGAGGGAACCTTTTGTGATGCTGAAAATGTTCTAGATCTTGATCCGAGTGGTGGTTATACATGTGAATACATATGTAAACAATCAAGCGATATATGTAAGGCCAGTGTACCATATGTATTTGGCTGTATGTATCTTACATCTGAAAAAAATCCTTAAAGGAAGATGCTTACTTCCATGTCATGCAAACCATACCCATCAGACAGACTGGACTGTTGGTACCATGTTGCAGTGACTAAATTGTCACCTCACCAGATGATACCCGTGTGCGTGTCACTGTTTATTCCTGTCCTGCTTCTGTACCTTCCCATCACTGCCACTCTAGGCAGGTAGGTCCTTTTTTAGAGTCCTTTGCTAGGTCGATCTCCAGTAAGCGCCCTGCCCCTTTGTTCCAAGGGCCACCATATTTGTCCTCTTCAGGCCCCTTCTAGCACAAACTACCGCCCTTCCTGACATCCTACCCCCAGTCACCCTCAACTTCCACTGCCCCTCCTCCCTCATCTCTGGCTTCTGGTCACACCTCCTCTGCCTCGTGGAATCTCTACCCCATTCATCCCTACCCTCCTCCTCCTAACTGCCAGCCACCCTCCGCTGTCACGGTGCTCCTCTGGGTCACAGACCACCTGCTTATCAATCCAGTTGTCGTCAAGACTCTTCACCCAGTTGGTCCCTTGGCTGATACTACTGACCACTCCATCTTCCCAGGCTGCCATGAAGCCGCCTGTTTGGGTTCTCCAACCTCGTCTTCCTACTGCCTTCTGAATCTTCCCGATGAGAGGTCCACCTTGACACCCTCTTTGCATCTGCCCTCTCCCTGGCAGTCTGGTTTGCTCCCACATGTTCACTCCCAGCTTTAAGCCATTGACTCTCAGCTCTGCCTCACCATCCTGACCTGCTCTGGAGTTTCCTTTGCCTTCAGGCATTTCCACATGGAGGTATGGGTGACTGTTCCCTTTACCAGCCCAGCACCCAGTCCTTCTCCTGGTAAAAATCACTCTGCTTTGACCTTGGAGAACCATTCTTCCTTCCCCACTTTCTCAGTCCACATGGCCTGAGTGGGGGTTGATGGTCCACCCCGGCTCTAGGGGTAAGAAAGTGATATAGACCTGACCAAACAGAGTCCTGGGATGGGCAGAGATCACCCAAGTTGAGTCCGTGAGGCATTCCTCCCTCCAGGACTTCTCTGAACCACTGGGGAAAAGCATCCTCTTTGGGCTCAGGTTTCTAAGCTAATGGGGAAGGCTAGAGCTGCAAGTGCTATCTTTGCCTCTTTGGGGAGGAACCTCCTGGGAATGAAGCCAATGCAGAGAAGCAGAACTGATATGGAGACAGAGATTTCTCACAGACACTGTTTGAGATCCTGGTCTAGTGCGTGAACCAATCCATTCCCTTCATTGCTTAAGCCATTTGGAGTTGGGTCTGTGGTACCTGCACTAGAAAAAAGTCCTAACCCAGAAATTAGAATAAGAAATGGACTTTTTTTTAAAGGAATAGACCCTAAGGAGGAATAAGCTAAACTAGGAAGGGAAGTAAGATGGTACCACCTCCCCCCTCAGAAGTTGGTGAGCCCTGCTACCCAGCAGCAAAGCAGCCGATGAAACTCTCCCCCGGTCTCTGGAGCTCAGATGATGTTCCTACCTGGAACTTTAGGGGGCCTGTAGAAAAATGTCACCATGTTGGGGTGTGGCGTCCCCCATGGCCTCAGTAAGGCCCAACAAGAAAGAGACACACTCCGGCTGAAAGGGGCACCTCTGAAAGCAGAGAGGAAGAAAATGCTGCTTTGCTTAGAGAGGCGCTTTCTGCCTGAGGCCAGTAATCCAATATGGCTGAGAGATAATTAAGAGCCAGTTCTCTGCTTCCAGCTAAAGTCAGCTCAAGCAAAGACAGGGAGGCTGGAAACACAGAGAGAGACAAACCTGGGCCCTGACAGGCTCTTGACTCCTCAGGCCCTTCAAGAACCCCTCCTGCTGTGCCCTCCCAGCTCGACAGAAGCAACCATTCCTTTCACCAAAACAGCCTTCCACTGCCTTCCACTGGGGTGCAGCTTGAGTGGGAGGGGGCAATGGACTCTGCCTCCCACCCTAGACGAAGGGTTTGCATTGCCCTGCGGCAGAAGCCTAGCCAGAAGCAACAGAACCATGCGCTCCTGGGATGGGCAGAGCACCAAGGGCTGCTGCTAAGAGACAACCCCTGCTCCCCCCCCCCCCCAGCCCCGAACACTGTCACCAGGGACTTGATTCAAGAATTACAACTTCCAATGAGGTCTCTAGTTTGGTTAATGGCTCTGGGGACAACTGAACGTAAATTGACTGAAAGCTTCCTAATGATTAAGGGGATCGTATTGCCAGAAAAACCCACAAACCTGGAAGACAAAGGCCAGGGATTACTCAGGATTACTCATTACTCCTAATGTTCCCCACCCCTTAAACCTGCACCAGTGGGAGGTGAGCCCCCAATGCCCCTTTTCTGCATGGCACAGAGCATGAAGGACAAGGGAGGCTCTTGGAAATGGCAGAACCAAAGCAGCCAGAAACAGGAGTCAGGGAACCCCGTCCTCACCAACTAGTCAAGCATGTGGACCACATATGGGTCTGTGACCACTGACTGTTTCTCCTCATCTCCCCTCTTCACCTGGGAGGGTTTTGTACGTTCAGCTATCCGATCTTTCCTCCATCATAGTGTGGCCATAAGCTGAAAGACCATGAGGGGCTAGCTCAGTACCCTCCCAAAGAGACAGCCCATCACCAAGATCTTGAATTGGGGCTGGACGTGCTAAGTGGATGAGAAGTTGGAACATCTTCGGGAGATGGGACAAGTGTATTTTAAGTTTTGTGAGGGACAGTTGTGTTATGACAAACAGAAGCACTTTAAAAATTGTACAAGCAGCAGGATCTGTGTAGATCTCGTTGAGAGGTGGGATGCAGTAGACATTTATTCATTTTTGCTGTTCAGCTCCAGTCCCCCTTTGTGGCTAGACCCGGTTTTCCTTTGGAGAACTATTCCCCCCACTTTGGGTTGGGCTCGGAGGGGAGTGCCTATAACCTCAGCCTGTTCATCAGTCACAGCGATCACTCATCCTGGGCACATTGCCCACTCGAGGCCGGTACAGCCCCTCCAGGACCTGTGCCCAGCTGGTAGAATGTGAGCCTGGAGCGGCTCGTGGCCATTTCTGTCCTCCTTGGGCAAGAAGAACACAAAGACTCCTGATGACCTCTCTTGAACATCCAGATCCAGATGTGCCTGAAACTTCAATCCAGGACTTGTCACTTGTGAGAGGCAGCAAATTCTTTTTGTAGCCCAAACCGTTTGACTTGGTTGCCAGTCACCAGTAATGAAACTCTAGACTAACACAATGACCGCCGGTGTCAAAACGCAAATCTTGGACTTGCCCTCACCCACTCCCCAGGATCCATCCCTGTTTTCCTTCAACGGTGCCACTGTCCTCCCAGTCACACCACACCACTGGCCATCCGGACCTTGCTCTCCGCTCACCATCAAGGCCTGTTGATTTTTTTCTTCAGCGGTTCTCCTCTCCTGCTCTGTGCTCTTCCTCACACCCAGAGAGCTGGCCCGGGCTTCAGCTCGGGGCCCTCTTCTGTCCCCTATTAGGCACCAGACTCCTCTGTCTACAGACCACTCCTGCTCCTGCTCTTTCAGTGGCTCCCAGCATCTACCAACTGCAGCCCAACTCAGCCTCACCTTTGGCCTCACTGGACTCTTGCCAAGTTGAGAGTAAAACGTGTCCTGGCTGTTTTACTGGCCTTTCTCTGATTACTATAGCTGGATATATTTTTTACACATTTAGCAGTCGTTTACATTTCTTTGGTGACTTTGCCTATGCACTGTTTTGCTCATTTTTATATTAAACATTCATATTTTCTGAGTGACTTTCAAAGGCTTTTCCTAATATCGATCCCTTGTCATTTATATGCTACAAATGGTGTTCTCCAGTGTGTTGATTGGCTTATTTACAGTCTTTACTGGTACAATAAAGCTGATAGTTTGCTTCAGTAAAAATCTTTAGGATTTCTGATTTTGTTATCATGCTTAGTAAGTCCAGCCCTACCTGAAGACTATATAAACAGTTATATATGTTTTCTTTTTGTACCTTGCGATTACCTTTTTTTAAAAGTCTAGAACAATTTTTTAAATTAAGCGCCTTAAACAAATAACCATAACACCATAAAGTGACAGTGACTTGGTAGCATGCAAATACTTCAAGCTGTATGGTTTCCTTTTATACGGTGGAGTTTTAAAATCCAAAAATTTTTGGTATGCATGGTGAGACAAGGATTTAAAAAAACACAACTTTTTGTTATGGACATTTTCACACATATTCAGAAATA